CTTTCAATTTGACTCGAAACTAGTGACGCCGTTACATATCTCGTCACAGGTGATTGTAACTAGTGACGTGAAATAACGCTCACGTCTAGTAAAAATCTTCATTGGCAACATTAGAGAGATATTTATATAACACAGTGAGTTGCGTTATCTGTGTATTTATTGAAATGTCACGTTTGAGTTTGACAATGTTACGTTACGGCATGGGTGTACCTAGTTTAAATGATCATGTTATTATGTGATTTCATAATTCAATTCACGTAATAACTTCAGTTATATCACAGAGCGTTGCTATAAAGGAGTGTCTTCGTGTGTCAGTGCAATCAAAATGGGTGATAACAGGAAAAAGAAGAAGTTTTACTTTAGAAAAAGGAGAAACAAATACTTCTTGGAACCCGGCTTCAGAGGGTTTTTCTGCACATGTAACTTCAGAGAGAAAGACTGCGTGAAAGAAATGTACAACTTGCTGAACGAGTACGCCGGAAAGATATATCCAGACCTAGAAGGTGATCAAGTGCCACCATCTGCTGCTAACGAGGAAAACTCCTTAAGTGAATCTGAAGAAGAAACAGACATAGGGGACTTGTTGAAGCGTGAAGTGGACTCTATGAAGAAAAGTTCTCAGAAATCTCTCAGGCACAAGCGATTTCAAGTTGTTGAAACAGGGGCATCTAATTGTATTTTCATAAAGACTAATTTACCTAGTCCAGAAGTGCTGACCACAGCGATTATACAAGATTTGTCTGAAACAAAGGTGCAGAAAACACGTCATGTGCTACGCCTGCTACCTATAATGGCTACATGCAAAGCTAATTTGCCCGATATAATGGAAGCGGCTGGAAAACTGTTTGATAAATACTTTTTGAAAGATCCATCAACATTTGCGGTAATCTTCAACAAACGGTTCAACAGCAGTGTGTGCCGAGATTTGATCATCAAGGAGTTGGCAGACATGATAGTGCTTAAGAATGGCAACAACAGAGCAGATTTGAAGAATCCAAGCCTTTGTATAATAGTGGAAATTATAAAAGGCATCTGCCTTCTGAGTGTTGTAGACAATTACTTTTTGTATAAGAAATATAATTTACACGAGTTGGGTAAAGATGAATCAAACAATGATTCAGAGGCGACACAAGCGAAGAAATTTAAGAGTGATGATGAAAATGTCAAATAAACTTTTTATTAACTTTTTCTATGTCTGTATACCCTTTCTTGTAGATGTATGTTAATGTAATCTATTGCCCCAAAACCAATTATCGCACCAAATTTTCTCTTTAACTTGTGGTCCACTTTAAAATATACATGTGAGAATAAAATTCATAATGAGTTTTATTCATTGTTATGCAAGACCTTTAAGCCACGCCCTAAAATCCTCATTGTTAACCAAACAAAGAAAAGTACCTTTTACAAGTTACATAATGTTGAATCTTACATAATAGGAGGCTTTAAAAATATCAATATCCCTACCAAGCAACCTCTGGAAGAATAAGTTACTATGAGTCACGATAGATGGCGCTTACCATATATTTCCAATTTATATTGTTCATATTGTTTTTGCCTGATTCACAGGAGTAAGGTTTTCTGCAGGTATGTTTGTTTGATTATGTGTCTATTTAATCAGAATGGCCTGTAAAAGCAAAACTACACTGGATTGGGTTTTTGAGCGTTTAAAATATTTTTCGGTACGTTTAAATAAAATTAGTATATATCATGAAATGGATACAATATAGTGAGATATTAAGACAGTGTAAGCTCATTTTGCATAATTCGAAAGAAATTATTTATAATTAAAAAGCTAAGGGTACTTCCCAAGCAACTTTGACGTAAAGCTAAACACGTCTGTCCACAATACCGATGACCATAATCAATTGAAGATTTTGGGAACAAAACTATTGAAAACAATGTATTATGAACAAATTAAAATAAATATCTATATCGATCGTAATGTGTCTTTGAATGTGCCTATCAGATACAATAAGGATACATGAACGGTAAGCCTTCAATTTGAGTTTGCGTGACTGGTGAGGGGCGAACGGGGGGAAGCATGCGGGCTTCGGGGTGGCTCTGTTGATTAGCTGCCTTTGTTTTAATACCCTAGACAGTTCCACTGAAAGCTCCCTTAACATAAATTGTTATACCTTGTGATCATACATATATATCGTATATTGTAATACAATTATACCTATATAATTAATATTGCCTTTATTGTTCTCGAAGCAGTTTTAAAGTAAATAAGCAACACAAAGTAGATATATGGATATGAATGTTAGTGGAAGGGAGGAATGAAAGGAGAATACATGTGGCAGAAATGCGAATGTTAAGATGGATATGTGTGGTAACACGATTGGATAAGATACGAAATGAGTATATAATAGGAAGTTTGAGAGTAGCCCCAGTGTTTGAGAAAATAAGGAGTAAAAGTTAGCGCCGTAAGGGCATGTTATGAGAAGGGATGAGTCGCATGTAACAAGAAGGACGTTAGTTATGAATGTAGACCTAGAAAGAGATTGGTGGATTGCGTCAAAGGTGACATGATCAAGAAGGGAGTGATTACTAAGATGATGGATGATAGAGGTATTTGGAGGACGAAAACCCGGTGCACCGATCCTACGGGAGTAGGATAAGGTAGGGGAGATGACAAAGTATACATTTTTCATTTTACTACAGTTTAAATAAATTTTTAAACGTTAAAAAATGTTTTCTGTTAAGCAAAATACGTTAAGTACAACTGTACTTCTAGATTATATTAAGTGCAAAGGAAAAATACGATTCGAGGAAATTACTTTGCGCATAAATAACAACAGCAGGAAACAAATAGGACACACAGTAAAGTTTCACTTAGCGTAAGCTCCCGCGCGTTAAAACAAAACTCGTTGGAATATGTTAAATGTGGCACAAACTTTTTTTTATCTCTTTACTTAGTCTTTTGCATAAACTGTTAGAACGATATTTGAAGAGCACGTTCAGTAACTAAATTAATATTTTTTGATTTTAATGCATTGAATGGTATCCAGTAGCGTCTACTTATTTTTCTAGCATCTTTATTATTTAAAAATATGCCAGGGTTGAGTATATGGCAGGTCTAGCGAAAAGTTATTACGTGTGTGTACGTGGTCGGATAGTTTTCATATGGCGCCATTTTAAATGACACCTGCTATTGATTCAGGGCTGTCTATTATTAGAAATCGTACGAGGTTTTTTTTTAATAATATTATTACATTTAATATTTTAGAAATATCATGAACACCATAGTATTGCCCAGTTAATGCGTGTTATCCGCATATAAACATTTATTACTTTATATAAGATGTGCAACTACGAAGCTTATTTCATACGGAGCGTATTTAAAATTCTGACATAGTAATATTTGACATTTTAGTTTTTTACATTAAAAACGAGTTCATTTTAAATCACAAAAATGTCTTTAAGTAACAAACTGACTGGTGCAGTGCGGTAAACGGAAAGCTTGACAACGTGTTAAAAACTTTAAACTTTTAATTTACGTTCAACGCAGTTCAAATAAACTACTTTTAAATAAAAAAGGATCTGTTACATACTTTAACGTTCTTAGGATGTAACCAGTTACGGTGTCCTTTTCTTGTTTTTGTGTTGTGTTTTTGTTTGTAAAGATGACCGCAAGCCTAAGAAAAATGACTTATTTTTTTAATCAAACTTATAGAATTAAAAAAACAATTATTCAACCGCTCAATTTATTTGTTAATGCGTAGTTAACTATTAAAATTAATGAAAAGAACATTTTGATGAGTATGCTACGCAACCCTGCAAGGCAACTCTTCAAATTTGTTATCGCAAACGAAGCGGCTTCCGTGACATGCGATGCTGACATAATCCCTGCGAGAACCACCTTCTCTATACTGACAACTATTTTGAATATTCCTGAATTTAATATTAACTATCTTTCGCCCGCAATTCCGTTCGTGTGGAATTAAATAAAAAAACAAAAGTGATGTGTTCTTCCCGACTATCCTCTACATCTGTACCAAATGCCATCAAAATCTGTTCAGCCATTTAGGCTACAAAGTCTAACAAACATCCATCCATCCATCCATCGTTGTAAACTTTCGCATTTATAATATTAGTAAGATTAATATAAATACATTTATAACCAGTACAGGCGATACTCGAGGTGGTAAGTTACAATTAAACTAAAATGGTTAATGTACATACTGTTTAATGAGCTTTCATTGCATTTTATATATTTTAAAGTATTTTAAAAGTTACTTATTTGCATCTATGTATGTATAGGAAAGCAATATATTTCAAGTTTGTAAAATACCAGTAGAGTTTTTAGCCAGTATTTCTCAGGAGAATTTTGTGCATTAGAGCAGTGAAGTAGTTTCGGCTATTTGCATTTCAAAAGCAATTTAAAACAGCCATTCGAAGTAAATTTCGTTTTTTCTATTCGATGTTTTTATCAAATCATTGGTATGTGTATAGTCAAATTGATACATTTAGGTACCGGAAAATATCTACAGGTTGGAAGTTAGTTCATCTTTATTACCTTATTATTGATCGCAGTTTATTAAAATAATATGTTGCTTTGCATATCTTCTTGCATATGATATAGGGAAATAAGACTGTGGCCAATAATATTTTCTTATAAGACTATTATTGTTAGAAATGTGTAAATAGGACCTATTTTACTGATACCACTTATTAAAAAAAACTGTTTTAACAAGTACCTATTCTGGTCAGAATAGAAACAGCACGAAACGTGAATGTTGATGAAAAATGTGAAAATGCAAATTCCGACGGTGGATTTGCATGTGTTAGTCAATTGGCCATGTTGCCTGAATTTTTGTGACTGTCAGTTCTAGAATATGTGGAAAAATTGCCATTGTGAACTAGCTTCCAAATGAAATTAGCTGTAAATGTATAAAAAAATGATTGCACCATAGCATAGCAATTTTTACGTTTTCACGTCATTCTGTATGAATAATGGCGCGAAATGATTGTTAACTTTTGAATTATTAAATAATAATTTTGAGTGCTGCCAATATTTGAAATTATTTTGAATTGGTGTTGTAATTAGAGTTTTTTAAACGGGCAAACCCGAATGGGTTCATAAATATCATGGCGGCGATAGTTGTTATGGTTGCTATTAGACGGTCGAGCAATGGACTTTGATTGTGCGCACGTATAAAGTCAATTGGTGAATCTCTGTAAATCTTTGCAATCCGACTAGATTGTGTTATGTGGTTTTCACTAAACATTGAGGAGCTGTGTTTCTGATATTACGCGATTGTTATTTCATTATCTCCGATATACGCACGCCCACAATGGAAAATAAGTTCCATGTCTATGACCTACCTTCGCAATTATATTCTGCAAGCCGCTCGTCATTCAGCCATATTTTTTAAATATGTTGGTAATAATAAAGCATGTATTATTAATGTGAAATATTACATTGCATTAATCTTGAAAATTATTTGCTGACAATATCGTGAAAATATGAAAAAGGACAATGAAACAATCAAGGGAACTTGTTTAATGTATTTTACCACATTATTTGTCATATTTCTTTACACTTTTTCCAAAATTTTAAAGCTGTATTCTCATTGCACAGAAAGTAAAAATGTCAATGTTAAAAGCTTTTCTCATTCCTGCGACATCGACTCGAAAGTTAAAACTTATGTACTCTTGTGAATTGAAAAATGTATTCCTTGAAAGGCCATATATCAGTTAAGTCAGTCAGATATGTGAGGATTGTAGTTAGGCAAAAAGATATTTAATTTTTATTTATTAAACTTTGGTTTAGTTGTAGTAATTTGTACAGTTCAGGGCAGGAGTCATACAATAAATACAATTTACAACAATGCATGACTTTTACTTATATTATGTAAGTATACTAATATTATAAAGAGGAAAGTTTAGTGTTTTTAGATTTTTAAATCTGTTGAAATAACTCAAAAACTGCTGGCCGTTGTTAAAAATTTTTCACCATTAAAAACCTACTTACCAGTAAGTAACGTAGGCTAAAATTTTTTTACCTCTTAATTTTAAACGGATAAAGTTGCGAGTAACAGTGTTAAATATTGTGATTAAAGTAAATTAAAGAATTCAGTAATTGAACTGTAAAATTTCACTTCGTTTATGTACTCCCATACTACTATATATTTTCATACTGATTAAGCGCCCAACTAAACTGCCGATAAAAAGTCTGGAGTCTGGAATCACTGTAAGTGTAATAGTGGCAAAGTTCTCGTATTTTAGTGCTAACATACGACTTCATACACTTTGTATGAACTGCAAGAATGATTCTTAGTATCAAAGTTTAGTACGAATATTATAACTTTGCC